TTCTTTGATGTTGTTTCCTTCCCTGACACATTTATTTTGAATTAAGCCGACATTTGGCATGTGATATTCTGTCCTTCTTTGGAGACCTTCTTTCAAAATGTTACAGTTCTGTTTTAATTTTTTTTTTCACTTTCCGATCATGTGACAGGTGAAATCAGACGAGCGGCTTTCATTCGAAATTTCAAATTTTCAATCATTGGTGAAATGGGTGACGTGTTTCGAAAAAATTGCGTTTTAAGCCACTTCTTGAATGGTTTCTCTATATTATTGCTTTTGAGGAATAATATTCTTTTAAAATACGTTTTCAAAATACACTTTTGGTCGTCTTCCTGTTTCACATGATCAGAAAGTTGAAGTTTTGAAACAAACGCTTGATATTGGCTTTCTTTTGCCGGAAGTCTCAGAAAAATTCATCAAAATGAAGAGAAAAAAACTTGGGAAATATTTCATCAGTGAACCAATCAGCAAACTCGAAATCGACACAAATTACCAAAAGCCCTCGACAATCTTCCGACAAACATTCCGAGAATATCAGGCACATATTTTGAAAATTTTTAAAAAAGTTACCTACGACATTCGTGTGAGATTTTTTCTTGGCAAACCAGATCAAACCCAGCTGAAGGAAATCTCGATCTCCTCTGTGGTCATGTACAAAAAAAAAAAACCAGAAAACGGGGTAATATTCCCGAATTTACCCAGAGAAGAAGAAACAAATCAACAATTCGATNCAATTCGATGTGTTCCCGGTTTTTCTGTATTTTGTTCACCAAAAAATCCCCTTCGACAGACAATCTGGTGAGAACTGAAACCGGAAACAAAAAGAAAAACATATGTCAATCCGATTTGAAAAAAAAAGAGATGGAGTCGATTGTTTTCCTGGTTGATTTCAATTTTGCTTTTCGTGGTGCTTCAGCGAGTGTATTTAGAAAGAAAAAATTGTTAGGGATCAGGTATTCAAAAAAGTATTAATAAACAGTTACCGAATGCGTACTGGAATCCATGCTTTGTAGCGATGTTTGAATACCATGAATGAATTGTTGTGAATGTTGCAGTAAAATGACGAAATCCGCTGCTTCGTTTTCATTTCTGGCGTTTAGTTCGTAGATGTCGCTCGTGCACGAAAAAATAATCGGTTGGATGTATTTAATTATTGCGCTACGGAAAACGCAAGAAAAAACACCTGACTGAGCACATCAGCTTATGAATCGCCTGAAAAAATCTTTAATTCATTATTTATATTCAGAAAAGGGTTTGATTAATGTATATATGTTAGATCCAAGCATTTATTATATTTATTCTATTATTTTTGTAATTTTGCTCAAAAAATTGTTTACTCCTTCTGTAGATTGAAAATTCAAGCCGTGTTTCAGTTTCCTTCTACCTCTTGAGGGTTCAAACATATTTTACTTTTACTTAAAAACTTCAAAAGCTTATTTCAGATTGTACATGAAGATTTTTTTGTGGAAAAATGAAACTAATATGCGCTGAATAATATGCTGCCAAATCGTCGACTCATCGAAACTATACTTCGCATTTCCGATCTGGGAATGTTCTTTGTACAATACTGCATTCGGGGTCAATAAAATCCATGGTGATTTTCATAAATTTCAGGCTTGTTGAAACATATTTATCAATTAAACTCTTGAAGTCTTCATGCTTTATTCATTTTCGAATTCCGGAAGTGGTTTTACAAAAGCAATCCTCATTCGTTTTTATCAACACCAGCAGCTCATCTTCATTTTATTGCAAAAAGAATTGGACAACAACAAAATACATATTTAAAACTTCAAGATAGAACAAGATTTTAGTTCATATAGATCCACTAGGGAAAAAGTTTCACTTCATTCTGACACCATCAAGTCAATGGAAAAAGCCAGCACAGCAGAATTCGTAGGTATTATTTGTGCTAGATTGAAAAGATAGAACAAGATTTTAGTTCATATAGATCCACTAGGGAAAAAGTTTCACTTCATTCTGACACCATCAAGTCAATGGAAAAAGCCAGCACAGCAGAATTCGTAGGTATTATTTGTGCTAGATTGAGTTTCCCAGTTGCTGGGCTTCTTCCACAGTGAACAGTGTATTATTTTTCTGATAACTGATTCTTTAATTACGAGAAATTGATAATTTAGCAACTTTGAGAAAAAGACATGTCAAAATATAAAACGCTTGAAAATTGGAGGTGATTGAAGTCTGGTTGAAACAACTAGCTCAAATTCTGCCGTTCTTTTTTTAAATCTGGAGTGTTTATTCCATGTAAGGATAGAAGCATCCCAAGTGGGGAAATTTGTGCACACTGGGGATATGTTTGTAATTCTACACAGTGACCCTGCTGTGCACCTGAAGTGTACCAAAGTTCCTCTGTTGCACATGCATATCCCTAATGTGCACCAATTGTGTGTTCACACCAGGATTACTGAGGGTCACATTTGTAAACAAATAAGTTACACCAAGGTTACAGTTGGTGCATTTGTGTGATACTCCTGTTATGTCACATTTGTGCATCAAGTTTTAGCCCTGGAATGGTAGCAACATTTCCTCAAGAGGAGTGCATGCTTGTAACCCCAGAATATCCCATATGCACCAGTTGTGACCTTGGTGTGCACCTACTGTTGGGTCAGAGCAAAAATAGCTCCCCACTTGGGAAAATTAGGGTACTTTGTGATAATTCAGTGTTATTGTTCAGATCAACGACTGCTGAATGCAGTACTTTTCCAGTAATTGCTGATGGTTCAAAATTTTTGCTGAGTGTGCAAACATGTGGTTGGCCCCATGTGTTTTACTGGCCGCGTTCTTTCTGGCTTCCGGGAAATTGCTCGCCAATTCCTCAGGTAAAATACTTTATATGTTCTATATTTTTGGAACTGCCATTATTTAATTCTTCTCGGTTTCATATCCAGAGCCGTTCATTGATGATCACGAGATCCTCGAGCTTGACTTCCTGCAAGTTCAGAATCTCACGGCGAATGAAATCATGTTTGTAGAAAATCAATCGTCAATTATTCCTTTTGATTTAAATAAATAAATTCGCATTTAATATCCAAACAAGAGAGATTCAGGATAATCAAGAACCAGAGGAAAGTCTCGTCATCCAGGAAAACAAAATATATGACGAAGTGGAAGTCATTCCTGAATTATACCTCGATTATGCGGAAAATTCGACAATTTTCAAACTCGATGACGACATTGACATCCAGGATTTGACGAGAATAGGACTCGAAGAAGATTTTCCCGACAGAAAATCTCGCGGTGTGATCTATGGTGAGTGATTTACTTCATCAACATTAGTTGCATTTTTGAAGCTCAGATGTCGCTCTAACCAATCCGTATGAATCGGATTGATACTGACAAAAGCATGCATAAAAACGGGGATTTCTTGAGTTTTGCGTGTGTGAAAGTGAAACGGTTTTTTTTTATAATCGAAAGTGAATTCAAAAGATTCATTGTTTGAATTCCGTTATTCTTTATATAGGGTTTGATGTTGATGAATCGAACTGGAATGGGTTTGTAACGGAGAAATTTATATTTTCGAGAAACTGGAATCCAAATACAACTCTGCAAACACCTGCTGTTTTCGGAATTGTGGCCAGCAAAGACACGTTAGGTAAGATTATTTATTTCAAACACTTTGTAGCCCATATTTTTTATTATAGGCTACCTCAGAAAATTAAATGCAGTATTAGAATAATTTATGATCTATAGAAATACAGCTATGAAATTTTTCTGAATTTTTTACGGGAGTACATGTTACAGTATATTTAATTTTTGCACACAAATTTTGAGGAAAATTTCGTACTCATGAACAAAGCAGCATTTCAAATTGCTGTTCGCACGTGTTTTATAAATTTTATATTTTATTTACCGATAAAAATTGCGAGGAAAAGTTGGCATTCACAAATGAAGCAAATTTTCGTATGTCTGCTCAAACTTGCCTTAAATTTTTTTTATATTTCGTCTTTATGTGCAAATTGTGAAGAAAATTTGGCATTCCCAAATAAAAGAAATATATTTTTATGGATGCTCAAATGTGCCTTATATATTTTGTATTTTATTTCCATATGCAAATTCGGAGGAAATTTCGGCACTCAAAAATAAAAACCATCTTCATATGGATACTCAAATGTGCTTTAAACATTCTTGAATTTTATTTTCATTTGCAAATTGTGAGGAAAATTTGGCCTAAACAAATAATCAATCTTTAAATGACTGCTCGAATGTGCCCTTCATCAATGTATTGTCTAAATTAAATTTTTTTTAAATCATAGAATTAACCGATTGTTTCCCAGCCACCAGCAGATTCGTTAGGCAGGTCTACGGACCCAACAGGAACCAACGACCACAAGAGTACCAGCAGTCTGATGAGCACCATGAAGAAAGTGGCGCTTACGCCCTGAAAGACGGCAGCAACTTATCCTATGAAGTCGAAGCCGACTCACGTGAGGAATTAAAATTGCATCAAGATGGCAGTTATGAAAGAAATCGCGAAGGACATGGAAAGGCTTACAGGAAAAGAGTGGGTCCTTTGAGGTATAGTGTGGAAAAGGTTGGGGAACGCGTGGAAGAGCAGAAGGTTCTCGAGGTCCGGAAACGGAAACAAAGAGGTGCGAAATTATTATTATTTTTCTTATTATATTTTATTTCCAGAAAATTTGGGTGCTTTACCTTGTTAATATACTGTATTGTCTTACGGTCGAAAGTGATGAGCTCGAATTCTTCTGACCAAAGCAATCATTGAATTGAAAAACTCGAGTCTAAATTCAATTAAAACTCGGAAGTTTCTTTTCTGTTCAAAGGCACCACAGTTCTAGCTTTTTTTTGGAAATTTTTGGGAGATTAATTAAGCAATTAAATGAATTAAGCTTCTGTGAAATCAATAGTCCTGCTTCGGTGAAGAAACGTGATGCAATTAGAATGAGTCAAATTTTTACGCAGTTACAAAGGCTGATGCAAATTTTGGAGTGAAAAAATAAGCTATAAAAATAATATTTGTGCCATCTGGATTTTTCAAAGTCAATGCTGCAAATATTCAGTTCACTTTTTTCGCTCTCGGAACGTTTGTACATTTATCTAGAAAAAAAAGCTCGTTGTTGTATCCATATGTTAAATTTCATCCTGGTCTTTCAATTACAACAAATGATTTTTAGTGCTCTGAAAATTTGATTCATCATCAAAGAATTTTCTGTTGAATTTTAATTAAATACTGTATATACAAAGAAGATTATGCATTTTTTTATCCACCGCAATGATTAATTTTCAATATTGTTTCCAGTGTGCAATGGTTTGAGAACCGGTGCGAGAATTATTTGCAAGGACAACGGCAAGTGCGCTTTTATAAATCTTGGCAAAAAGTATTGCCAATACTTGAGTCACCCTTACTGCGTTCTTGAAGCAGTTTGCGTCATGAAAGGTGAGAGTTTAAAGTTCGTGTGAATGTGAAACAACTGTAAGTGCTATCCAAAAAAATGATACCATGAAAATAGTTTATGCAATTCTAAGATTTTTTAAATGCCTATGAACTTGCTGTTTTTATTCGCCGCAGAGAACAAGAATTGTATTAGCAACATGCAGTTTCTTTATATTTCTAGAAAAGTCTGTTTGTTAAGAATTTAAATATTTTCAATTCCTTCTCCTCCAATGGTTCATTAGTTTCTACCGGAGAATATTTATTTTAATATGCATCGAAGGAAAGCTGAATTATGTTCTCAGTGTGATACATTTCTCCAAAATATTGACTGAAGAACGTTTTTTTAAATATATTCTTATAGACAACCCTGAAAGTTTTCTTGAGGGTTCTTGACACGCTGCTTCACATACATTCTTGAAGTTTTTTGTTAATTAAATGAGCGGGCTGAACTGATTGAATAAATCGAGAAATGAACCAATTGGAAGAGAATTTCTCGAATTTTTTTTTGTGGAAAAATAGCTCAAAAATCTGTCTGATGCCATATATTTTCTGTCTTTTCTGCGACGCGAGACAAAATTAAAACAATTTCATTCACTCCGAGAAAGTTGCTTGAGAAAATAATTGCGATGGACGCCTAAATTTTTGCGTGTTCCAAGTCAAATAATTTCAGAAGCATTGAAATACTTCGCCAATTATTTTGTAGGTCATTCCGAATCATGTTTCGGAAAATGCTCGGAAAAACAAGTTTGTGTCTACAGGAAAATGAACTGCCGAGGCTCAGACAACAATTGTCCTCTTGAGCCCATGTGCTTGCCTCTTTTCGGTGAAGAAAGCTTTGAAAAAATTACATTTATTTTCCTGTTCAACTTGAAACCAGTATTTTTAATCATTTTTTAAAGCCGAAAGCACTGTCCAAGAGGAGAAGAAATGGAAGGTTTTGCGGAAAATCGTGCCGGACTATCAAATCGCCATGCAACAAAGCGAATCCGAAGAAGCTGAGGAATTTGATTACAAAAGCCAGGAATCTGGCTACGGAAATAAACACGAAAACCGAGAATCTGCAGAAAAAAACGACTACGGAAATAAGTACCAAAACCGAGAATCTACAGAAGAAGACGACGACCACGATGAAACTGAGTCCGGAGGTCATTACAAAAAGGAGGAATTTCGAGAAACCCTACGAGGTGAAACTGAGGCCGCAAAACAACATATTTTATAGCTTTTTTTATTTATTTTTTTGAAATTTTTTTCAGGTTGTTCCGGGGTAAATGTGGTTTGCGAACTTGCTTGTCCAAGTGAAAACCAATGCGGTTTGCTTCGCGAAATCAAGTCATTTTGCCACTTCATCAAACACCCGCAGTGCATTATTCCGCCCGTTTGCACCAAAGGCAAGTCTTTCCTCATTTTTACAAAATTTCAAAATATACAGATTCAAAAAACTTTAGAAATGTAATGGAAAAAATAAAGGCTAAAAAATTTCGAAGATATTAAATATATTGTAAATAAAGCGTCAGTCCGAATTTTCCGCTGGGAATACCTTTGGCAGAAAAGTTATACTTCATCTTTCAGGTTTAGAAAAATCCTAATCGGATACAACTTTACACGAATATTTCCGGAAAATGGCATATTAGAAGTAAAATATCTCTTGTCAAAATATTTTATCATTTGAAAGCGTCGAAATTTTCAAATTGAGCTTTTATTCTCAGTTTGAGATTGTATATTTGCCGTCTTTGAAATGTCATTTGTATATGAAAATTTCGCGCACTTTTTATTTCTCCCTATATTATAAAAAGCAGAAATTTTTTTGGCATATTTTGAGAAAATTAGCAGCGGGTATTTTTGATTCGCCATCAAACTTCTTTCATGGCTAAGCAGCTGAAAAAAAGGAATATACTTGCTGAAGTAAATGATATTTTGAATTTGAGTTACCAAATTTTACGCGCAAAATTTTGCTGATTTTTTCAGGGCAAAAAATACGTTGCCGACCGCATGAAGTTGGCATCATCGACTCCAACAACAGCCACTTTTACTGCAAAGACGGACTTTGTTTCGCCAGGCAACGATGTTTGCCAAAACACAGAGGTGCTTGAATTTTTTGCACATTTTCCTGATATATCCCTTCATTAATTGAATACAATTTATAATCAAAACAGGAAAAGACAATGCTTATGATGGACTAAAGCCGTTCGATGTCAGAAACGGACGTAAGTCGGAAAACTGGAGGCATCATTCGGCAAACAGAATTTGAAACCTCTTCAACGTGTTTTTTTTTTTGTTAGGTTGTCACAGTCATCATTTGGGCCGCAAAATTAATTGCATGCACGACCATCGATGCATGTTGGCAACGATCAATAATCGGTGCAAAAATTACCATTCCTCCGAATGCCAATTGGTCAGCGTTTGTGCTGCAGGTAACAATATTTTTTATTCATCGACGAAATCCTATGCTATTTTCTTGAAGAATTTTACGTAGGTTTTTATGATATATTTGAAATATTGCATGATTGCACAATTCTGTACGTCTCAAAACGGAGCATTTAAAATAGCAACTTTAAAAAAGTTTGCGCCAAAAACTGCGGTGGTAGAGAAAAAATGTTCTTGAAAATATAAAGCATTAACTAAGTGAGTTTCAAAATTTATTTTTCCTTCTTAAATTGTTGTGAAATTCAGTGTCGCCGTATTAGCTTTTCTAACGGGTGCAATATAATGAACACTACGAATAAAATGACATCATATCAATTTTTGAGCTTTATGAGTAATATTTTAAGATTTAAAATCAAAGCCTTCTTCCTGTCTTAGATTCTGCTCTTGGATTTTTTTTTTTAGTTTTCGTTAGAAATATTTTTTCATATTTTTTAGGCACGCGCTTTTTTGTGATGCGCTCTCTTTTCAAATACGCTGTTTCGAGAAACGGTCTTTTGAAAAATGCTCACTTGTTTCAGCACGATTGTGATAATTATGAATAAAGAAAAAAGTGCGTTTTAGCAAATGAAATCACGGAAACCACCTGAACTTCTGTTGGGGACTCGTTTATAATTATTAACAAATAAATAAATTAATGTCCCGGACGCGGCGGGAACAGAAATTAATCGGGTGGAAAACCACCCAAGAGGAAAAACCGCGAAAGAAAAGGCCAACGAAC